AGGTCAGGTTAGTTTTTTCTGCTTGTTAAAGCATGATATAGTAGTAGCAAGACATTTGTCCAGGGCTTTCTACTAACCCTTTGCTACACTTTAAAATCTCATAGTCCCACCACTCCTTCTCCATATGTCACAGTGGGAAAAGACTATGGGAATAATATTTCAATAACAATATATATCCAATGTCAATGTTGATGTATTTCTTTGTGAATGACAATCTTCTATCATGTGTTCTAATTTGGTTTAGCATTATATATTAACAAGATGAAATGTTATGAATTATAATAAAAGAACAATCATGAAAATGATAGAAAACTGAAATCACAAAGTATATATTTGTTAAAATGATATCTAACAATTAAATTTTGATATGTTTTTATATATTTCCGAGAACAGGGGCTCTTTGTTGTTTTCTTCTTATTTTAGTAAAAAAAGATTGGCACTTTTCTTTCATCTTTTTTCTAGGCCTGAACTCTGCAATATCAAATTTAGTTTTCCCCAGTGACTAAAATTCAATTCTGAGGATCAGCTAAGTCAAAAATTTTATCATAAATCTTGGCACAGAAGAAAAATCTCACTGTTTTTTGTCTAAGAAATAGGGTTTAGTAGCAATAGTCCCTCCTCAGACAAGAATCTTTTTGCAACATAGATAGGAGTATGAAAGTTGATGTCAGTGACATGTTCTCTCTTATCCCCAAGTTTCCACAATTTTCTTCTTTCATATATTCGACAACCTATCAGACTCATTTTTCTGTACTCTCCTTGTTATAAAGTGAACACTAAATGGAACTTAAGGAATCCTATGTTTTCATTGATCCTCTTCTCAACAGACTTTCTGCTCTAAAAACATGTGTATAGATTCAAACAAAGCAAAGGTTAATGAATAAAATTAACAGAATAACTTAGAAAGCTGTATTGAGGCCACTATGAATTGTATTATGAGCTGTACTGAATTTTAATAAACAGATAAATTATGGAATCAGAGAGAATGGAAGAGTACAATTACCCAAAATACACTCCCCCATAAAGGCAAAGGATAAACTGGCAAAAATTACCTGAATTTCAGTTTTCAGAACTCTAGAATTAACCACATGCTTACTGCATTCCAGAGAATATTTGTTTAAAGACTTGGTGACTGTACATAAAATCAACATGGGGACCAGCAGTTGGCATAATGGCTATGTCTCTGGACCCCCATGTAGTTGACTGTGGTTCAAGTCCCAGACTCGGTGGCTTAAACTCACACCTGGCGCATGTGTGTACGTACCCAAGATCCTGAGAGGAGAATGGAGGAGAAGGGATTGTGGGGTGGCCATCCCCCCTGGGGGGTGATTTCTCGCTTTCTGACTCCCTGTCTCTCTCTTTCTGGTGAGCACACGTGCCCTATAGCAAAAACTTCTCCAGATATATACATATCTATATCTATATCGATCTATATATCTATCTATGTCTGTATATATAGATATATATAGAGAGATATAAATATATATATCTATATATAGAGAGATATAGATATAGATATATAGATATAGACATAGATATATTATAGATATATATGTTTTGCAGCATTTTAACTTTTATTTCCATCCTCTTTCTCCAGCTCTATGGTATCTTTGAAAAACAATATCCTGAAAACACTGTGGAATAGTTTCATTCATTTATGTGCTCTAACTAATATCTAAAATTCTACTTTGAACATAGTGGGTTCTAAATAATTTAATAAATTCTCATGGAAATTTTTGGTTCTGTGTCTAATTCTCTCTAATCCCAAATGAGGTGTATGGACAGGCCTAGAAACTGGTTCCTAGTTTCTCGCCTTCAAATTTTCTAGTAGATTGCTGTCAGATTTAATAATCATGTATGATAATTTGACTATAGTATCCCCTCTCCTCCCCATCAAACTGTCACCCCAAGAAATGAGTTACAAATTTCCAACCATTCTTCAGGCATTTGACTGACTGCCTTCTTTACTCTGCTACTCTTCACACCTTCTCTTAAAACAACATATAAATTTGCTCATTATGTAAATGCAGTGCTTATTGTTGCAACTATTTATTACTATTGCTCTGATATTTGTCTTCATTCCTCTTGATCCTAAATTTCCATCTCTATTTTCTAAACTTTCCTTTGTGTGTCTTTTATATTAACATTAAATGAACAAAAGAAACCAGCCAATTATCCATCCAACCAACCAACCAACCAACCAACAAACCAAAACAGGAGAATTATGCAATAGAGGTGAGGCAAGATAAAGTTAAATGATGTGATGTTATCACAGTAAAATATTATTAAGTCTGGAGTTAATTAGGAAAAGAGGAATTTGATATTGTGGGATGGGTAAAGTCAGACCAGGCAGTACTATTAACTGTGTTTTGTTGATACTCTGACCTGTTAGTCTAGGTAAATGTACAGCTGAAATTATCTCATTCCTATGACTGTGAAGGGAGTGGTAACAAAACTGCAGTTCAGGCATAGAATTTTTCAATCTAGCTGAGCTAAGATTTTGGATGACGAACTACCCAAAGTGTTTGTTATGAAAGATTCAAGTGTTTTGTTGTTCTGTATTCTTTAGTGAGGGGAGATGAAAATGCAGGAATTAAAACTTTAGAATGAGCCTCTCCTATAGACTTTTTAAACAATTACTGTTTTTATTTATTATTGTATGTGTTTGTGTGTGTGTGTGGGTGTTTTAGACAGGATCTCACTATGTCATTATCCATCTGTCTCAAAGTCCTGAGTAGTTGGAATCACAAGTATAAACCACCATGCCCGGCATTTTTTTTTTTTTTTAATTTACTCATTGATTCGTTTATTTATTTAAATTTTGATCAGAGAGGAACAGAGAGAGAGAGAGAGACAGAAAGTGAGAAAGCAAGCTGCCAGGTCCAGGACTCGAACCACGGTCGACTATGTGGGAGTGTCCAGCACTTTAACCACCACACCATCTGCTGATTTCCCAGATACCTGACTTTTTAGGGTAGACTAGGGTTCAAATCAGTGGACTCAGCATGTCGGTGTGAAGGATCCTGTGTGTGTTAATATGACTGAATGCTAACGTTTTTCTGAAGGGTCAAGTATTTATATTTCCAATAAATAATTTATTTTAAATAAATAAATAAATAAATAAAATGGTCACATGATCATTATTCTTCTTTCTTACTGTATTGTTTTAAAGTGAACTTTAAACTTCAGTCTGTTTCTTTTATTCTATATCTATTTACAGTGCTGTCTATACTGAAAACACTCAGTAACTTACATAAACTGATAATCAGCATTCTAAAGTCAAGATTCCTCTTGCTAGGAAGCTCAGTCTGGATATGACAACATCACTTGCACAACTCACCACTTAACTTTACCCAACCATTTACATAGAAATTTGGAGTGTGTGTAACCAGCAGGTGGCTTGGTGATTAGGTCACTGGATCTCACATGGCTAATTACATGGTTCAAGTCCCTGACCCAATAGTTTCAAAATCACATGAGGTGTATGTGCCTATCTGTCCAAAATCCCCAGAGGAGTCAAGAGGAGAAAGGGTTATGGCATGGCCATTCCTCCTGAGGGTGAGGTCTCATGTTCTTTCTCTCTCTCTGTCTTACTCTCTCTCTGGAGAGTGCATGCACCCTATAGCAAAACTGAGAATAAAGGAAATTCGAAGTGTGTGAAGTGAAATATATTACAAATCTCATTTGATTTGTTGCTTTTAACTGGGACCTGGGAAAAATGTGAGTATGTGGATATGTGTCTCACTGAGCGTGTGTGAAGACAGACGTGTGTGTGGAAGTGTTTGTCTGTTTGGGGACACAGAAGCAGTGAGTTAGGACTCTGATTGGAGAACTACCATGGCTACCACTGTTGCCATGGATCCCAATAATTCTCATTATGTTGGTTTAGGGTGCATGCTATCAGGACAGATTTCAAAGTTCATCTTGAGAAGAAGCTGCCAGGAGTGGCTGCTGCTGGACCCACAGTCTTGCGTCCCTGCTTGCTGCATCGGGAAGAACCCAGGAGCTGGGGTATTCTCCAAGTAGGCACTGGGGTATTCTCCTCCCTAAGACACTGTTGGAGCCATGAGCCTAAGTGCAGCTAACCCGAATGTGGCATGGGTTTTCTGTTGGGGCCCAGAGTCTAGGAACTGAGAAAATTACCAGGGAGACAGCTGTTACCTCCTACTCTGGACATCACTGGAACCATGAGCCTTAGACAGTCTGAGTAGTCTGTAGAATGGTGTTGACACTAAAATTTGGTGTCCAGATTTTGAAATATTTCCCAAAGAGTCAGCTCTTTCCTCGTGCCCCAGGCACCACTGGAACTTCAAAGCTTCTCGAGTCTAAACACAGTTTGGTGTGACCAGGAGCTGGGAGTTTCAAATGAGGATGGAGACAGGTGGCTGGGAAAACAGACTATAAAGGCTGATGGGATCATGATGCAGAATCTAAGACTGACTCACTGGGAGGAGCTGTGCAAACACCCCTACCATTGCTTACTTGAGGAAATGGATCAAGTGAGGACTAGAAATACCCACTTTAGCGTCTCTCTGGGAAGAAAGGCTAATAAACACTTTAAGAGTGAGCTCAGGGACCAGCAAGTGGTGTGGTGGTTAAGGTGCTGGACACTCCCACATGGCTGACCAGAGTTTGAGTCCTGAATCTGGTGGCTTGCTTTCTCACTTCCTCTCTCTCTCACTCTCAACCTCTGTCTTTCTCTGGTCACATTAACAAATAAATGAATAAATTAAATTAAATTAAATTAAATTTAAGAAAAAGAGTGAGCTCAGACTGGTGAAGTACAAGTAACACATGACAGGATTATCTGGAACACATCATATCTACTTGGAAGTGTATAGGAAGTATATAGAGTAGTCGACTTATTAAAATCAGTGAAGATCTCGAACAGTCACCTTTGTTCCCCCACACATTTTCTCTGGGGTAAGAAATGAGGAAAATGGGGCTCTGAAACTCTGAACCCCAAACAAAAGAGGAACTTAACTTCTGGTCCCTTTGAGCCAAAAGTGTCAAAGGCACATTAGAGACCTAGGCTATCCTTTCCCCTCTGGAAACACACAATCTACTTCAAAAATTTAAAGAAGTGAGTACTCTACTGGATACCTTAAAGTAGATGCAGAGACATAAGAAATATTAATACAACAACAGCAAAGATAACAAGAAGTACGATTGCTCACTTTCTGTCTCTCTGTCTCTCTCTGTATTTTAGCGAATGTGCACGCTCTATAGCAAAAACCTTTCAAAAAAAAAAAAAAAGGGAAAGAAATGAGTCTAGATCAAAGAAAGCTCCTTGAAGAGGAGGGTCTGGAATGGCTATGCTTAAAAAAGTGCATGAAGACCCAGGACCTAGGGGTAGTACAGAATCACAGTAGGGATGAAAGAGAAAAAGAAGAGGACAAACCTTCAATTTGTCCATGATTTAAGCTAAGTACCAAAAGATTGCAAAGACAAAGTTTTACTAAATACAAGTAAAACTACAAGAATGAATGATTCCACATAACAATTTGCTTCTGAACAGAATTCTTAAGTAATTGTTTAGATGTTGATTATAATTACGTAGTAATTTTTTAGATACTTACATATTTGCGAAAACTGGAGAAGAAAAAATACCGGGGGCTGTAGCTTGAGCCTGGGGTCCTATTTAGTAGAAAAAGAAAATTATATAGTCTTTCATTATAGTCTTTCATGTGTATACTATGTCCCACAGAATAACTTTCAATTTCTAAATATTTCATGCTTTCATGATATATGAGTGATAATATTAATAATATTACATGGAATAATATTATTGTATTGAATAATATATTATATTGAATGATATTACATGAACAATATACCCATGATGATATTCATCATATTTGATGAATTTTATTTCATGATAATATCAAATATTATGCCATTGGGAAAGTCATGACATATTTTCTTACACAAAAATGCATCACAACTTTCCCAATGACCCAATAGAATGTGCTGGTCATAGAAAGTAGTATTAATATTAGAACCTATTCAAAGTCAAGTTTAATTGCCAACCGCTGTTTCTCCATCAAAATGAGTAACTATAGGTATTGATGATGTATATAAAAAGTCTTACATCCTGTGAAACGTTTTTAGTTTTTGAAGGTATGTGCATGTGTGTTCATTTTGTGAAAGGAAGTAACTGAGATTAAGTGTTCACAGACCAGGGCCAGCCTTTGGTGTGGTGGTCAAGGTGCTGGACTCCCACATGTCTGAATGTGGTTCGAGTCTCAGACCCAGCAGCTTAAAAATCACGCTGGTCATGTGTACATAACAGCCCAAAATTCTACGAGAAGAATAGAGGAGGAGGGACTGTGGCATAGACTGGTGATGATTTCTCACTTTCCCTCTCTTTAATTCTATCTCCCTCTCTTCAGTGAGCAAACGCACCACGTGGCAAACAAAGAAACAAACAAAAAAAAAACACCTTAGGAGGAAAAAAAAGAGTTCACAGTTCACAGAGCTAAGAAACTAAATGTAAAAATAATACTACTTTAAAAACAAACTCTTTTGTGTTTTTCAACAATATACTAGATAAATATCTCTTTTTAGCAAATTAAATACAGACACACAGAATTAAAAGTTCAAAACCCAAGAAAGTAGCTAACTTAATCATAGGGACAAGTCTGGAGTTGAATATTACATCCCAAAATTTAATCGGGAAGATCAGACCACAACAGAAGATAGATTAGGTACAAGAGACTTAACTGGTGAAACAGAATTTTATGACTTTTGACCAAAACATTGCTGATTTTCTTCTAGGCTTTGTTTTTCAGTTTTAAGGATTTTGTTCCTGTCTTGAGCTGCCAATAGGTTTATGTATTTACTATTTGAACAGAATCCTAACCTGTTTCCTTGCTTTAAGTTTTAAGCAAAGTTTCTTAGCATTTCTTTGATTTATTTTAGCCCAAACTGCTTTTCTTGAAATTAAAAAATATAATAAAAAATGCCTATTAAATGACCGTAGTAAGCTATATAGCATCAGCTAGGTGCTACTTTATAGTATATTCCTTCTCCTCAGAGTTTCGCGCCTGAAGTCAGACAGGTATTCACAGATGTATATATTTCAATAGCTAAATTTGCTATTGAAAGTAGTTAGATTATTTAAGAAATTTTGTGATTCAATAAAATGTGGGGAAAAAAGGAATGGAAAACAACTGTAGACACCAGCGATAGTGTGGGAGGAGGGTGGGAAATGGCAGAGTGTGAGAAATAGAGGTAAAATATATATGTATATGAAACGAGAAATGGAAAATTATCGATGATAGCATTTATGATTAAGCCACTATGCAGTATCTTCTGGATGGGAAATCACATTTTGTATGCTGTGATGATATTCAGTGAATGAATATAAAATTATTTAACTAATTAAAAATAAAAAAATAAAAAATAAAAATAAAAATTACTTCTTCAAAAATATTGCCTAGAATTTAGTATAGATCATCAAAATTGTACTCTTAAAAACAGCTCAAATTTATTTATTTTTTTTTATTTTTGGAGAAGTTTTTGTTATAGGGTGCATGTGTTTGCCAGAAAAACAGAGACGGAGAGACAGTAAGCTAGAAATCACCCCTGGGAGAATGGCCACGCTTCAATCCCTTCTCCACCATTCTCCTCTCAGGATCTTGGGCATGCACGCACATGCGCCTGGTGTAAGTTTAAGCCACTGGGTCCGGGACTTGAATCACAGTCAACTACATGGGAACCCATCGACATAGACATTATGCTAACGGCTGGTCCCCAAAACAGCTCAACTTTCAAAGAGAGGGAAAAGAATTTGAAAGTAAGTAAGCAAATAAATAGATAAATAAAAATCTGTGGTAACACAAATCTAGAGTAAAATGCAAATGCTGATACCTGTCCTAGGGCATTAGCCATGCCTACAAAGTCATTATTTGGTGAGACAATGAGATGACCTAATGGTTGGTTACATCACTGGACTCCCACATGGTTAACTGCAGTTTGAGTCCCAGACCCAGTGGCTTAAAACTCATGCTAGGTGTGTGTGCATGCATGCTCTAAATGGCCAGAGGAGAAGGGAGAAGAAGGAATTGAGGCATGGTCATTCCTCCTGGGGGTGGGGGGAGGGGGTGATTTCTCACTTTCTGTCTCTTTGTCTCTCTGTCTTTCTGGCAAGTGCACATGCACAATAGCAAAAATCTCTGTAAATAAATAAATAAAAATATTATTTGGTAAGAGGATTTAAAATAAGGCATCAGGCTAATAATAGATGGGTGCTTTATTTTTAAAGCTCCTAAAACATATATAGTATCTCAGAACCAGCCCTGTAGCCTAGAAACTCAGAAAACCAGATCTCACATTTGAACCAACTGTGATTCAATTCTGGTCACTGGAGCCTGAAAAACACAGCCAGTGCCAAGGTGCATGTGTGTCCAAGAGCTCAACATGAAGGAGAAATGGAGGAGTAGAAATTGCAGCGTGACGATATCCAACTGGTCCCCCACTCTCTCTGTCTCTCTCTGTGAGTGCGAGTACCTTCTGGATATTACATACATTATCCTGTAGAGCAATACAGTTGATAAAAGAATCATCTAAATAAATAAATGTTAAACAATACCACTGAATAGCACAAATAAATCATTGGCTTTTGACTGTGAGTAGAGAGGGAGCAGGAGAAGATACACATCACTAAGAATTCATAATCATAGACCACCTTGTATATAATTATAAGTTTTAAATTACTTGAACTTGTGCTATTCATAGAATTCCAAGTGAGAATTTAATTTAAAATGGGCCAGTGTTTATGCTCCTTCAGATGCATCGAAGCATCATGAAAAGGTCCTATAAAGCAATATAGAAGACTTCTATGACTTTAGGTGGGCAAAAATTGCTAATGTAAGACAGATGGTCATACTGGACTACATGGAAAAGAAAATATTCTCTTTGTGAAAATTTATATTAAAGAGAGGTTAAAAGCAAGTCATAAATTAAGAGTAAGACATTTTTCCATCCATGCATGCAATAAACAAGAGATCTTATCTGGATTGCAAAGAACTCATACAAACCCATTGCACAGACAATCAACTAAAATGAAAAAAGAAAATAGAATAGGTTCTTTATAAATATTATATTCATTCAGGGACCATAGCTGGCATAATGGCTATGTCACTGGACTCCCGTGTAGTTGACCGCAGTTCGAGTCCTGGACCCAGTGGCTTAAACTCACAACGAGCACTTGTGTGTACTTGCTGAAGATCCCAAGAGGAAAATGGCGGAGAAGGGATTGCAGCATAGCCATCCCTCCCTGGTGGGGAATTCCTTGCTTTCTGTCTCTCTGTCTCTCTCTGTTCTTCTGGTGAGTGCATGTGTCCTATATAAAACCCTCTCAAAAAAAAAAAAAAAGAAATATTACATTCATTCATTCAATTAAAAACCATATAAAAGGATGCTCAGTTTTATTAGGCAGCAAGAAGTTAATCATTAAAATCACTATAATACAAACCCATATAAATGATGAAAGTTTAAAATAAAGAAAATAATGAAGTGTTGGTGAGAAAGTATATCCATAGTAATTCTCACATACAGTTCACAGAAATCAAACTTTATAAATCCATTTCAAAAATCCTTTTGGCAGTCTCACTGAATTGAACACAAACATATTACAGGACCCAGAAATTGCATTACTAGCATATATGTAATAGAAATGCACATATATGTGTGCCAAAATAATATGAATGGGAATGTTCAAAGAAGACCCTTACATAATGCCCAAAGACTGAAAATAATACATTTCTCAACAGAAGAATGAATAGATTGTGATTGATTCAGATAATGGATTATTATATAAGGAAGACCTGGATGACCTAGCGCTATAAGCAACAACTTGGACTACAATCTCTCTAACACAACAATGACAAAAAGAAGTAGCAAAAGCAAACCAAAGCACATGCATGCCTACAGAATACCACTTACATCATCAAATTTTGTTTTTATTCACTGATATCCATATTTATTCAGTTTTACTTAAAAAATGAAAATATTGGGACCAGCAGATGGTGCCATGCTTATGTTGCTTGATTCCCACATAGTTGACCGTGGTTCAAATCCTGAACCTGGTAGCCTAAAACTCATTCTGGGTGGATCTGCATATGTGCCCAAAATCTCGAGAGGTGAATGGAGGAAAAGGAACTGTGGCATGGTTGGGGGATGATTTCTTGCTTTCTCTCTCTTGAGAATGAAAAAAAAATTCAAAATAATTAATTTTTGAAAATCAATGTCAATGTGTAAGGTTTACTCCATATAATTTGGATTACACAAACTGTTAGTGGTGACAAAAGATTGTATGCTTTTATATTTTAATATTATAACATCTTATATTAATTAATTAATACAGGATAATACCTTTGTTTGCTTTTGATTTTTGCCATAGGGCATGAGTGCTCTCCAGAGAGAGAAAGAGAAAATGAGAAATCACCAAGTTTGAAAACAGCTAAAACTCATCAATATAATTATGTTAGAAAACAGGATAGTAGTCCAGGATAAAGAGGTTATTAAAGGGTGCGAGGTAAGGGAGGCTTCTGAGATCCTGGTAATGTTACATATCTTGATTGGGATAGGGCTTCACTGGTGCATTCATTTTGTGATATTTTCTTAAAAGCTTA